TTGCAGTAATACCGGCAATACAAATGCAGATATTTTCTCAGTATAAATGGAGATTACTCTGCAATACCAGCACCGGCCAGTAGGGGTCACTGTGTGTGGAGAGAGGCAGGGATAGGAAGTTACAGCATATCCCTCCCTGCCTCTCTCTTCTCACTGATCCTCGGGGGAGCAGCTACACAGTGCAGAGAGTTCAGACAGCAGCTCCCAGTTTGCAGACAGACAACAGCTCAGGGAAGTGAAGGATGAGGCAGCAGGGAAACATGGGGACACTGAGATACTTGGGGACACTGAGACACTAGGGGACACTGTGAGACATAGTAACATTGGGAGACACTAGTGTCCCCATGTCTCCCAGACAATTTCCCTAGTGTCTCAGTGTCCCCATGGCTCCCAGTGTCCCCTAGTCTCCCAGTGTCTGTGTCCCCATGTCTCTCAGTGTCCCTAGAGTCTCATTGTCCCCATGTGTCCCAGTGTCCCCAAATATCTGTCTCCCAGTGTCCACATGTCTCCCAGCCAGTGTGCCTAGTGTCTCAGGGTCCTCATGTCTCCCAGTGTCCCAAAATGTTTCAGTGTCCCCATGTCTCCTAGTGTCCCCATGTCTCCCAGCCAATGTCCCTAGTGTCTCAGTGTCTCCATGGCACCCAGTGTCCCCTAGTTTCCCAGTGTATGTCTCTATGTGTCTCCCAGTGTCCCCAAATATCTGTCTCCCAGTGTCCATATGTCTCCCAGCCAGTGTCCCTAGTGTCTCAGTGTCCCCATGTCTCCCAGTGCCCCCAAATTTTTCAGTGTCCCCATGTCTCCCAGTGTCCCCATGTCTGGGTCCACAAGTGCCACCATGTCTCTCAGTGTCCCCTTGTGTCTCAGTGTCCCCATGTCTCACTGGGTGCAAATGTCTCACTGTGTCCACATGACTCACTGTGTCCCCTAGTATCCTAGTGACAAGGGAAACACTGAGACATGGGGACACGGGGAGAAATGAGGACACTGAGACACTGGAAGACTAGGGGACTGGGCATCCAATTCTTTGGACAGACATGCCCCTTTTTTGGGCATGCTTGCCCCTTTTGGCAGTTCTGGTCACGTGATTCGCATCAGTGGCCCACCCTTTTAGGGTTAGGAGTAGAGTTAGAGTTAGGGTTGGGTTAGGAGTATGGTTAGGAGTAGGGTTATGAGAAGGTGTGACGAAGTAGGTGTGACGAGAGGACTACTTGCCAACCTCTTGCAATGTGACTATGGCTCTAGGGTATATGACCCCTTAAAAACAGTATTTGGGCATAATGGATTTTTATCGTGCTGCTGTTGGCCCTTTAACTCCTGGGAAAAGGATCTGTACTTTTAAACTGGCACTTTGGATGCAGCCGAAATGCCAAAGTAGTCGAAGTGGCTGCCATTTGAAAACTGAACACATGGCGGCGGCCATTTTAATTTATTCGAATGTGGTCAGCAGTGTGTGCCGTCAAATTCATGTAACTGAAATCGGCTACAAAACGGCATGAACGCCGCTGAAAGTTTACCTTCCCTGGAACTAATTGATTCGACAATTCGAAAGCCGTTCAACAGTTTGTTCGACAATTCGAATGGCTGCATTCGTCTGTTTGAACTGACTTTAACATGGGAAATAGACCGGCTGCACAGCTCAAATCTCTTGAACTGTTTTGGGCATGAAAATGTGCGTGCGTGTGGTCGGTCAAAAGGGACTTCTGTAAGAATATTAAATAGTTAACTTGTTTATATGTATTTTATGCTTTTATAAGGTTTATAACATGATTATTGCTGACTGAAGGGATATTGAATACTTAAAGTCAATATGCTGACTGTGACAGACTAAGGTATTTCTTCTATAGGATGTAAGACAATGCTAAATTTCAGGATGTCTTGCCCATTCCGATTTTAAGGATATTCTTTTCCAGACGTATGCAAAAGCTTATCTTTCCATTGTCAGAATAACGTAATACAAGGAAGTAATAAATCTTATAGTCTGTACTGTATTTGCATATACCATGGCTAATGTAAGCAAACTATGTATAAAAGCCAGCTCTGGAATACACTCATTTGAGAGTCTTGTAAAGCTGTTGTCCGTGTGTTATTGCTTACAAATGATTCTCCATCAACGTTGATTATGGTGACCGAGGGATCGAGAACCGAGGGGATTAGAGTCCATTACAACATTAACCCTTTCAGCTTGGTGTCTAGAAGTGGGATAGATAGAAGTGGATCAGCAAAACCATTTGCGGTGAGTAGCCTTTTTGTGTCTTATTTGACGCTGATTGTCTATGACCCCCTTTGGTTCAGTAAGTCTGTATCCAGTAGATAGGAAAGGTGTAAGGACTCTAGTTATATTGAGACCATGAGAGGTCTCCGGTTTATATTGAGACTATAAGAGGTCTCCGGTTTATTAGACATTTGGTCTAAATATATAGGGTTTTGGTAACCCAGGTTAGTATCTAAGATAGATACAGGTTTTTGAGACCATAAGAGGTCTCCGGTTTCTATAGGTGTTCTGAGCAGCACGGTTTGTAGATCTTTAAGTATAACCCAAACTTCTCTTTCTCCCGGTCACCTTTGTTTGTCTTAAGTGTTCTTTGTGGGTGATTGTTTGTCTATATTGGGGACACACTTTGGTAAGTTAGTAGTGTCCCCACTCTGAGTCAGCAGTATGGGAAATGTGAGTTCATGTCCTGAGTGACCAATATATGTACATGTATATGTGTGTGTATGTATATATGTGTATATTTATGTATATATGTGTGTGTATATGTATATGTGTATATATAAGATAGCAGTACTTTTAAACAAATGGAGGTTTTAAAAAATACATAGGGATTAAGGAGAGAACGCAGGTAACTTGTTTTTCTTTGGTTTTTACCATATATTGGGGCTGATGTGTACTGTAGTCCTTGCTGCTGTCCAGTAGTGATGGGAGTGAGCGCAGGACTTATCTTTCTGCAAGATAGCAGTACTGTATATTAGAAAAGAAATGACTCATAGGTTGTACCTGATAGACCTACTTAAATCTTTTTGCTTTATTCTTTCTGTTGCATAGAAGTATAAGTTTATTACTCTGTTTTATTGTAAGTTATTTCACATGGGAACTGTGTGCCTGGAATGATTGTTGCTTTAAAAATACTATAAGCCCACTACACTTATTATGAGAGTGGGATAGTGTAAATGTGTTGCATTGTTTGCATGATGAGCTCAGTATATTTTATAACTGAGACAAAAAGTCACTTCATTAGTATTTGAAAGTTAATTCCCCATATGGGATTAATTGTATAGAAACACCAATCAGCACATCTTCCCTGCCCTGTGTGTTTGTTGCAAAGGATCCATACTAAATATGATTTATGTTTGAAAATAACAGAGCAACATTTACATTTTCAGCGGTCCAACACATGCTTTATTTTGCACTGTAAACTAACCTTTTTATTGCAACAGGTTCCTTTTAAATGATCCAGTGTAATAACTACTGCTTGTGTCTTCTATGTCTCACATTATGTGATATTTTAAATTGTGGTATATAGCCTGAATCAGACATCATGGACAAAAGGTTTTTACCTGTGTTACTAAGGGCTCTTGGAGACTGACCGGTCTAAAGGTTTGCCATGCCTTTAAAACATGGTATAGTATAAATTTTTTAAGTCTCTGAGAGTTCTGAAAGATTCAGGTGAAACCATGTCTGTTTAATCTGGTCCAGATGTTTGTTCAATTTCTATAAGATTTAAGTTGATGCAGCATCATCTCAGATTAGTTAATGGTAGTTTTATACAAATAGTTGAGTTATGAGCGCGCTATATAAATGGATCCTTTCTTTAAATACAATACTATAGTAGATTAAAGTAATGAAGTTAATTAAGAAAATGTATACATAAGAATCCCTAAAATAAATCTAAACTAAAATTGGTATACTTTCCAATAATATGTTCTGAATACAGCTGTTAACTCTTTATTTTGTGTAAATGGTGATTGTGATAATGTGTGATAAGTGTGCAGTTTAACTTGAAAGTGGTTTAATTTATGTTGCTGTATTGTTTTAAATTATATGTGAATCAGTTTGTCACAGTCTAGTGATACTGATAAGAATGACAGCCAAATAACCTAGCAAATAACTGTTTTATTAGTTGTTGAATACTAGCGTTTTGGCCAAGAATAGTTGGAGATTTGGAGGTGTTAGTTTAAGATTGCTTTTATATTGTGTCTATCCGTGTTTCCTAGGAGGGAGACAGAGTGTGTAGTTGTGTGCCCATAAATGTGATTTCTGTATTGGCATATCTGCTGGGTACCCATTATGTGTTTTTACAAAAATATTGTTTTGTGAGATGACGTGTAATATTACATGGGATGCTGAGTATGAGTTATATGGTTTGAAATGAATTGGTGATTATGAGTTTAGTACTTCAGTAAGATGTGCTAAAATTTGGAACAAGGTGGAAGCTGAAATGTTGGGATTATGGAAGAATAAGCAGTCTATTTTCACTGCTTTGGCATATAAGCAAGATGCAAAGGAAGAGATTGGTAATATGATTTTTGTAAATAAATTTTACAAGTGTTGGAAGGATGAGGCAGGTTTGATGTCTGGAGATGATATAGATCTTTTTAAAATACAGTCATGCCTTGGTAATATGTTGCCACAGTATTATTTGCTTGTGAAACAATTGATTTCAGACTGGGCCAATTTGGATAGCTCAGATTTTCTTACCAAGGTTATAGAAAAGGAAAATGCAGGTTGTTTTGAATTAAGAAAAGATTTAGGAAAGTAAGGTTGCTTATTATGCTCAGGGATTGCAACATATTATGTCCAGCTACACAGGATGAGAGCAAGGATGGGATGGAGCACATAAAGCCCGTGGAAGGGGTGGTCAAAGAGGGGCAAGGGGATGGAGACAGGGAAATCAGGGTTATAGGGGCAGGGGTAACCAAGGAGGAATAGACAGGAACACTTGTTTCAACTGTGGACAATATGGCCACTGGAGGAATGAGTGTCCACATCCCAGGAAACCCCAGGAAACCCCACACACCCCAACAACCCCACAATTCTCAAAATATGCCCTGTAGGCAAGAACAACACCAGACCCACTCCCAACACCACTGGCCAGCATATCGCTTAGTTCAGGACTTTAGAGCCCTGAATAGTTTAATTGTGCCCATTTCACCCATTGTCCCTGATGTGACATCCCTCATTACAGCCATTCCACATGATGCCACTTGCTTCACTGTCATTGATTTAAGTAATGCATTTTTTTCTATACCTATTGATCAAGAGACACAGCTACTTATGGTTTTTACTTTTTGAAGGCTGTCAGTTTACCTGGACACGCTTACCCAAGGCTATGTGGATTCCCCAGCTGTTTATTCGTTGGTACTCCAACATACTCTAAAAAAACATGGACCACCGGTCATGGTTCCGTACTTTTTGCAAAATGTTGATGATTTGTTGTTATGTAGCCCTAGATGTGAGGCAAGCACTGTGGATACTGTCAGCAACTGTGGGTCACAAGGTTGTTAAACACAAAATGCAATTGTGTAAATCAAAGGTTGAATACTTAGGTTTTGTTCTGGCTTCAGGCACCAGACAATTGAGTCCAAAACGTATTGAGGTCATTCAGAGGATTCCTACACCCACTACTCGGAAGGAGTTGCTCACCTTCCTCGGCATGATTAATTACTGCCACCAATGGATCCCTGAATGCTCCCATTATGACTCAATCCTAAGGGAGGCTGTACGTTCTGACAACCCTGAAAATGTCTGCTGGTCACCAGACATGCTAGCTGCATATATTGCCCTTACAGTTGTTATTGTGCAAGCCCAGGCTTTAGGACTACCTGTGTATTGTAAACCATTTCATTTGTATGCTTGGGACAATTGTAAAACCATGGCCGCAGTCTGTGTACAAGAGCAAGGAGGCGGTATGCGTCCCATAGCATTCTTTTCCAAAGTAGTTCGAGCTCCGGTACAGGGTATGCCGGCGTGTCTCAGAGCATTGATAGCATGTGCAATGGCTGTTGAAACTGCTACTACTATCACACTAGGGCATCCTACAATACTTCATGCCAGTCACCAGGTCACTCAGCTGACAAATCTCACCACACAACACATGACAGCCCAGCGCTTCAGTGGTTATGAGATTCTTTTTTTTAAATACCCAGAATCTGTCTTTTGGATTAAACAAGGTTTAGAGAAAGATCAAAATGATCTGTTCTCTAAAGAGGGGAGAATAGGCATACTTGAAGAATAGGCATACTTGAAGCAAGCTGATTTATTTTCATCAGTCAGGCACATAGCAAGCACCATTCAATTCTTCATGAATTCATTTTATATTAGGAATCTCAGGCAGCATGTACAGTCTTTTGTAAGATCGTGTGAACGCTGCTCTTTTTACACACTTACAGATTGATTTTATTCATGTATCCAAAATTGGTAAGAAACAGCAATACTTACTTGTCATAGTTGATCAGTTTAGTAGATGGCATGAGGCCTTTGTGACATCTAGGGAGGATGCTAGTGAAGATTATTGTTACTGAAATTATTCCCAGGTATGGCTGCCCTCTGCAGATTGGCTCTGATAATGGCCCGGTTTTTGCAAGTGGGGTTGCCCAGGAACTTGCTAAATTCTTGCAAGTTACCTGGCAGTTTCATATACCCTATCATCCACAGAATACAGGGGTAGTTGAAAGGATGAATAGGACTATTAAGGAAAAGCCCAGAATTTACCCAGGAACATGGGTAAATTGGACTAGATATCTACCAGCTATTTTAGATGAGATAAGAATGAATCCCCACAAGGTGACTAAATTATCTCCATTTGAGATTTTGATGGGATGACCTTTTCCCACACCCTGGGCCAGGGAACTGCTTGTTATAATGTCTGGGGATTTACAGCTAATACAAGAACAATATGTACAGGAGTTGTTGATAAAACTGAATGGTATGTATGACAATGTTTCTTCGCAGTTTTCCCTTACCTTCACAGGAACCTACTCATTCATACCAGCCCGGTGACAAGGTGTATATCCGTCAGCTGAACAGGACCAAGAAAGGAGGATACCCTTTTGGACCACCTGCTACTGTGATTGCTGTACCCAGAACCGCTGTCCACAGATTCCCATGACATCTGGATTCACGCATCCCGAGTGAAGCTGTGTCCAAAGAGGGGAACCAAGGAAGACAACACCACTCCTCACTCGGAAACAGAAGAATTTCTCCTCAGCGAAGCATCATGGTTTTCACACCATATCGTAGATTGAGAGGATCATACGTACCTGAGACCAAGATTATGTTGTGCGCTATGCTTTCTGGAGTTGTTATACTCCCTCTGATATTGTTCCTTGAATGCCATTATGAGTACAAGTCAATGGCAAGTTTGAAACCTGTTTGTTTCTGGAAAAAAGACTCTGACATGATGAACAATTCTTCAATACCCCCAGCCCAATTAGGCCTTAGCCCCTCATCTAGCATTCGTCACACACGCTCCCTCAAGAACCTTTCTCCACCACCTTTCTATCAGCATGCAATATGCAATCATTCATTCACTGAACGCATCTGGATGAATTGGACAAATAGTAACCCTTATAAGTACCAGTTACCCATATGAAATGTGTCTACAGCTAATGAAACCGATGCATTATGTTTGTTTGAAGGTTCACAGAAAATTGTTAGATCTTATAACGCAGAAATGTGCACAGTTAAGGTTGCATATCAATGTAAACAGATAGGCCTTATTACTTTTAATAATGA